TACATGGACTCTAATAAGACAGCAACAAACATTACCATTCTACTACTCATACAATTATCTCAAAATATATATAACCTGATCTTTCAAACCCAGCCTTTGTTGGGAATAATAATTTATTTATTGATAATCAACATGTGGTATTAACCCGTAATACTCGACAAGAAGGTTCAGGAAACCTTAATTACAATATAGCAAATTTAATAGCTCAGATCTTCAATGAAGAAAATAATGAATAATCAATAGCAATTGAATATAAATATATGTACATTGTCCTTTTATTTTCTTAATAAATAAGAATTTAGCATTGTAATTTTAAGTTTCATATAAAAGTAATTGTATTTGTAATATAACAAGTTACGACAAGTTACGGCAAGTTTCGACATAAAAAATTGAGTTATGGCAAGTTTCGACATATAAATTGAGTTACGGTAAGTTTTGACATATAAAATTAAGTTGCGGCAAATACGCACGTTACGGCACACCGTAACTTAAGGCAAAAAGTTATAACTAGTTATAACTCAGTTACGTTAAGGCAAATCTCAATACTTCAAGTTCCGCCTGCACCTCTACTCTAGACAAGTGACACAACATAACTTCGCATTGAGTATTAATACAATAAAGACTGTACATATGAATATAATGTGCGAAACAATATTTAATTTAATTTTAGCACTTTGATAAAGTTACAAATAATTTCTTGTGTTTATATTTTAAATACAAAAGGCAACAACTTATCAAAAATTAAATCAAATGAATATTATTGACTGTCAAAAGCCAGCAATAGGAATGATTCTGATAGTGTATTCTGGCTTGGTTATTGTTACAAGCATGGAAGAATAAGAATAGAGCATTCATTAATTGTCAAAAATCTGCTGAAATAAATAATCCTAACAAATGTATCAAATTTGTTATTTGTTCTTGTTTAGGAATTAGGCTGCAATCAGGGATGATTTTTGGTTAAAATGTGAAATAGAGATTGTTTAAAGCCTTGTAGCATTTTGTGATTTACGTGAGTTTAATTTACCAATCGATTAGTAATCAATTTACGTACATATGAACTGACTTTAAACTATCTCAGTAATAATACAGACAAAATTAGGAAATTACATTCTAGAATGATCTATGAATATATTCTTGAATTTGATTGGTTCTCATGTGTCTTTTACCTCTCAAACATCATTACATTTAAAAAAAATTTTTATCAATTATTCAAGTCTAATAAGCTTTAAACTTGTAGTTTGAGACTTCTAGTTATGAGTCTACTTATGCTAAAACTATAATGTTTTTAATTTAACTATTGTATAGTATCAATATAGTTCATGAAAGAAATCATTTTAGATATTTTTAAGTAGTTTTAGATTGTGGAGTGATGTATAAGTGGTATTGTTAAATAATATTGTGTATACATGTAGTAACTGTTTAATGTTATAAATAAAATATTGCAATATAAATTAGTATTATGGTAATAATTAAACAAAACAAAATTACTATTTAAAATCCTTAAGAAAAATGAAGCTTTGCTTGTTGTTTTATTAATAATAAGTTATTTATTTTGTATATAGAATGTTTGATTAATTTGATTGTATCAGCAAATTTTTAAGCAGATATATATATAATATATAGCAGTTAATTGATATATATCAATTAAAATTATTAATATATATTGATTAACTGCTATATTTTAATATATATTACTAACAATAAATAATAGTTATTGATATATAATAATTTTTTTTTTTTTTTTTTTGAAGGTGAGGTTTTGCCTTTATCTTTATTAATAATTTGTGTTGAGAATCCACTAGGGGTTTC